CCAGGATAGATGAATAATTAGAAATATACTGTATACTTTTAAAAAGTATACTTTTAAAAGGTCTTTAAACATTGGTGGAAAAAAATGAATTTCACACACATTATTATTACTATTATTATTATATATTTATATATGGAAAACTATTATTCTCAAACACTGATTGGTTATATGGATATTGGCTATATGGATAAAAGAACTGTTTATGGATAGAATAACCAACAAATGTAGGTAAACTATGACCATAAAGCAGTCCTGCTCACTGAAATCCAACATTGTCCACAATGGTTTAATGCATTCCCAAATAGCTTCCATGGTAAAAATGGTATGACTATAACATAATATAACATGTTTGTTTTTAAGCCTGCCAAAATCTATTTCCCATATTTGATATGTGAAAAATATTTTATTTATATTATTTCATTCTGTAAGTGTTACTTGGTATAAGCAGTTGTTTGGCTAGTGAGTTTCACTGATGATCTAGCTTTTTAGTTTAAGCATCATCACCATTCTAGTCTTGAGTTGAGAGCAGTTTCATGGCTCATGAACTTGTGTACATCCCTCTGAAACGCCCAAGCTGAATCTGGATCTTTATGAAATCTTAATCTGCTGTGCTTTAAATAAACACCAACACTATATGTACAGAGAGGAAGAACGAGGCAGCGTGGAGCTCCTTGGAGAGCCCTGCAAGCAGTCCTGTCACTGATATAAATAGTGTAAGCAGCATCATTTAGTCTCCAGAACTGCCTCGCATTTAGTGACAGGAACTTGAAAAATACAACTGATTACATGCTAATATCACAGGGTCATTTCAACATTACAATTCAGATGTTACACAGCCTATTAACTTAATAAAATTTGTCACATTTAAGCAGTTGATGTGTCATTACAAAATAAAAGTGAATGGGAATAATCATTTTTGTGATACTTATTAATGATAATAAATCAAACTCAGTCTAGCTCATAGCTGTCCTGTAATCCCACTAATGAATTTCACATCCTGTGTTAGCCGCTTTGATCATTCTCGTCAATGAAACGCTCCTTGGAAAACCCATGATCCACAGGCACGGAGCGGCAGGACCCAGCCATGTTATGTTACAGCAATCAATGACCTTGTTATCGGATACTAACAATGAAGCTCATTAGTCAAAGAGAAATCAATTGATGTAGGCCACTTATTCATACTATATATTTCAATATACTCTTTTTGTGAAAATGATTAGTGAAGATGTGTCATTGTCATCTTTAATACTCCTCAAGCTACTGCGATAACGTGGTCAGATTGAATTATTCAATAATAACGAAGCACCAGCTGGTACAACTAAAGTACTACAAAATAATATTCAAATACATTTAAATTACAGTTTTTAATCTAGTAGATGTTATCCGTGTGGTAAGACTGTGTTGTGGTTGCATTATCATTATCATCAGTGCAGATGAGGAAATGTAATTATTAAAAACTAAAATCCTGAAAAGAAGAACATAAAAACACTTCGCTGAATATTATTATCAATGAATTAATTATTTCTAACTGTACTGCCATGCAGCTTCACATCTGCTGGGGAGGTGTCCACGTGAAAAATTCCTGTACAGATTATCACCCACTTGAGTCGACTAATTGCTTGCAGCTGAATGTTCTAATTGAGCCACAACAGTCCTAAGGCTATTTTCATAAAATCATTGTGCTCATGAATATAATATGCCAGCCAGATATAAAAACAACTTGGAGTGCCAACAGGATCTATCAAACTCACTGAAGCCTCAATCCAATTCTCCACACTTCAGGACAGCATCAATTTTGGATGTTTAAAAGTGAACACAGTTTTCCACACAAGTGCTAATGTAATTTTGTCCCACGCACTTAAATTAGCATGACAGGGTAATTATAGCAACAAATATCTTTGGCTCCTTTACTTGACAGGGACTGTACAGTAGGAAGTACAATTTCTTTCCATATACAGAGTGTACAGTGGGTTGCCCCACATATTGTTACATATATAAAATTTCAGCTGGGTTAGCCTTAGCAGGAGCCAGACCAGAGATTTGACTTGGGGAGAAGTGAAGGCCTCGTAGCGATGAAACAGACAATAAAAAACAAAACACACCATATTTCTCCATTGAGGATAATTATTTTTGGCAGCAGAGGCATTGTTTTATTATATTTGCTTCCTATTTTAGCCCATTCCTGTAAATAAATGGACATGAGAAAACAAATCACTAATTAGTCCCATATGCAATCTTCGGAATTTGTCAAGCTGTCCTTGGATCTATTTTCATGACAGTGGACTGTTTTGAGATTTTGCAGTGATTATGCAAACGCTGCTTTTAAGCTGTACACCTACATAGATATTAAACTGTGCATCTTAAAATCTATGGCTCATTTTCACATAAACAGTAACATAAATCTGCTCTCATACTTGTGGTGATACATGGTGATATCTTGAACTTGACAAAAAAAAAAGATCTATGTATGGCACTTTATGTAAATATATGCCAGTCACTTTTTCTGCGTCATTTGATCGCTGTTGGATTTCTTCCTGCGGTATCAAACTCTTGTGAGGTTCTTTTTGTGTGATTTTTTGAACTTGCACACCTGAGAGAGACCTTTTGTATCACAGGACTTTTTTTCTTAGAACGCACATATTTCTCTCTTTGCTCTGAGTACAATAACTCAGCAGTGACATTGAAATGCTAAAAACAAATTTAAAATAACATCTGAACTACAGCCCTCTGGCACTCTCAGGGTATGCATATGAGGAATGAACCAGAGTCCTCTACAGATGCTGGTGAAGAGTGTTTCTACAAGACTGTTTGGGATTTGCTGTCAGGTGGCTCCTGCCGGGTCAGTATTTGTGCTTCAGTGGGCTGTTTTTGTACCAGCAAGGCTGAGGGCAGCATAATACACAGGGCCACAAGCAGGGAGCAGGCAGGCTGTAGCCTTTCAAGACAGACAATGTGAGTCAGCTATCTGACTTCATCAAATAGGGCTTGACAATAAACCCCCTGAATACAAGGGCTCTACTGGTTTTATTTCATTATTTTTTTTATTTCCCAAGGCAGCTTGCCAGAGTTGCTGACGGTCTCATACCGTCCAATATCTCTCTCTGTGGCACTCATATGTCATTCCATCCTGTGCACTTTGGCTCAGATGGCATCCCTATGTGACAACTGGTCTCATGTATAAGGTCTCATGTGCACGGCGTTACCAGTGGAACCCTACTGAGTCCATGCACCTCCATGGGTTTGTTTTCCACACTAAAATCATCTGTCTTTGCACATGAGTGATCGCTACAGAGACAGTGGCTTTAAAGTGTGGGACATCTCTGCGGCTAGTGGTCAATCAGTAAGTCGGTCCTGCCAAGAAGAAGCCCTTAGTCTGACCAACAGGATTTACCAAAGGCCTAGTACAGAAGAGCAGTGTCTTAAAGTTAAGGAAAAGCCAGTGGTGGAAGAACTACACAGATTATTTACTAAATGTAAATATTCTTTAAAGTTGCAATAATATACTATAAAAATACTCAATTACAAAAATGTCCTACAATCAAAATTTGACTACGGTCATGGTGCTGAATTTTTATCAAGAAAATGTACTTTAAGTATGCAAAACAAAGTACCCATTATGCAGATTCTTTAAAAAATATTATTACATTATTTAATTCTATATTATAATTTATGCATTTACATGTAAGTAGTAATTTATGGTTATGGTTGGTCAAGCTGGTGCACATATTATCTATTTTCTATACTGTTGGGTAGTTAAATTAATAGTGTAAAAATCATTATATTTCATTTATATTCTGTAAGTAAAATCTAAATTTGACAAACTAAAATTAAACGAACTATTAACTATCTGTTAAAAATTTGTAATGTAGGAAAAGGTTAAATATTTGCCACTCAATTTTAGTTGAGTATGGTATGTAGCAAAATGGAAATACTCAAATAAAGTACTTAAAAAATGTACTTAGCTACAGTATTGTACTTTCGGTATTTTCCACCACAGGGAAGTGCTCTGAATGAAGCACATTTAACACTAATCTGTGAGATGCAGGTAAATAATGTTTATTAAAAAATGTTCTTTAAAGTTAAGAATTGAGAGAAGGTTGCTTTATTATAATCAATATGTCAATCGAACTGACTACATATTAACTTATGACCAAAAAATAGTGAAACATTTTATATAGCCTAACGTGACTCTAGCCTAACGTGACTTTTGTTACAGACACATACAGCACACACACACACACACACACACACACACACACACACACACACACACACACACACACACACACACACACATTACATGGATTTCGCTAAGAGCATGTGGCTCAGCTTGACTTATACAGAAAAACAACAATGATTGACTAATGTTAGAATACTTAATCTAGAGTGCACATTTGCAAGGTAATGTATTTAACAGGGTAAATTAGACAGTATAATTAGCTCCTTGCCGGATCAGATAGCCTTTTGTTTTTGAGAATGTTGCTGAAAAGTTAATTTGTTATATATTATATATATATATATCCTGAAATGTGAATTTGCCGTGCTCTCTGACTGATTTCTTTTTTGTCACCTCCCGAGTTCTGGTGGAAGTTGCTAATTCTCTTTCTATCAGGTTCAGCTGTTTCAGTGATGGCGTTAACATTAATGTCTTGTAGGTTATTGATGCAGACAGGTCTTGCCTTTTTGCCTTTTTACTTCACACTTGCATTCAGTTTGCTTTTTTCGATGGAGTAAATCAATCCGACGGCAGACCTATTATTCTCCTTGGCGGAAGATTTACCTCCAAAGGCAAGGGATGTGAAGGATTTTTTAAGCACAGGAAAAATGGATGCCAACAGGGGTAACCAGACAAAATGAAATGCTTGACAGTGGTCCATATTGTTGCCCAGGGCAACTAGGCAACTGTTATCGTTGAGCCCTGTCAATTATTTTCTAAGGGTCCTGTACCTTTGGCAGATACCTTTCTTTTTGGTAGTGCACAGAGATGTCTGCAGTTTTACCTTTGTGACATGATCTTGTAGGCATCTGGAAGATAGCAGTTGATGTTCTCCATCTGGAAAGGGTCGGCGTCGCAGATCTTGTCATCTGTTCGGCCATAGTTGGCACTTTCGATCATTATGACATCACTTCCTGGACACCGCAGATCAATGGGGTAGCCCTCACAAGACAGCTCTCTCCGTACTAAGCCAAATGGCAGGGCAGCTCGACTAAACCCTGAGGGAGAAGAGAGAGAGAAAGAGCTCTTTCAGTGCAAATCGAAGGGAGATGTATAGTTGGGTTGACTCAAAGAAAAACAGTATGAAAGGCAAAATACACAGGATATCATAGCTGGATGCTGTTCATTCTTTTAATCAAAAGGCTATAACTGTTTAGTAAGATGAATCACACTGACATGTGGATAGCGAACTATGCATTGCACTACCCACCTAACATACATCAGTACTGAGTGAACATTTCAGATCTCAACCACACCAGTTTGCTAATGGTTCTAGTATGTCATCCCCATGCCAAACTGGTCCTGAAAATCAATAATTGTCTAGAAAGGTCTAGAACACTGTAACCCCTTAAGATCGTCTCTGTGCAGTAAACACACTGATGCAACACTAATAGCCAAATGCAACAGCTGATGGCGATAGTCAAAAAATATAACTCCATTAAAAATGTATTTCGTAATGTGTTTTTATTTTTTTCAAAAGGTCTGCCACCACAGTTTTTTTCTTTGTCATCCTTCTGTCCTGTGTTTCCTTTCAATATAGGAGCAAACTGCCATTGTAGTCTATCACTAGAGACTTGTGGTTTACTTGCAAAGCTCAGTTTTCTATCTAAAATGAAAAAGTACAACATGCATCTGTACAACATGAGTGTAATTTAATCCACTTTGCAGTGCTGACAATCGAAGGGCAGGCTATTGGGAGGCTGGAAAAAAAGAAAACTGTGTGCGTGTGTGTGTGTGTGTGTGTGTGTGTGTGTGTGAGTCTGTCAGGGAGGATGAGGGGGTAGGGAAAAATAGAAAAGAAATCAATATTGTGGCTTTGTGTTCTGCAAATGTGAACAATGCCAAAAGCCATACTTAAACTAAAAGTGAACTACATGCATAAACTGTACTAATCAAAATATGGGATATTTTTGGTCAGAGCAGCTTTCTACAGCTATGACATTAGTATTTGAGGAGAGTGGCATTCAGCCTAAAGAGATTGCCAGCTGCACCTCTGTCGACTTTAACTAAACCACTGGCAGCACTGAATAATAACTACAGCTTCCTTGCATGCAGTGGTGACTTTGTGACCTCTTTGAATAACAGTGCTGTTAACTGTTACCTTGGTTGATGGCTATGCTGTTAGTGTTTCCAAAGCCTCTATTTCCCAAATGACAGTTAGTTCACAGTCGCAGGAGAGAGAAAAAAATGTTGTTGCTACTTCTCGTGCACTAATTTGTTTGGCACCTGGACAAGTCGGACCAATCCATATCTGCCATATAATTACAAAGCACTTTTTCTTTTCATCATTCTGTGAAATGTTCTTTGTGTGGCAACAGTTTACTTGAAGCCATGGCCTTCAGCTCTGCTACATTGGCCTGGAAAGGCTGAGTTCATTTTACCCAATTGGATGCTTCATCAATTAACTACCAATACAATTATCTTTGTCTGATTAAATGCTATGCAACAAAAGTAGGGGATTAGCATTCTGTATTGTGCCCCTCGCCAGAAAATACCACTGTGGTATTTTACAAAGGAAGATAAATGTCAGTTTGTATTGTCTGATCCTCTGTTTGGGCACCAATCAGGTGAAAGTACTACTTCTAAGGTGCTCAGTGAAGAGCTCAGACTAAACAAAGGATATATCTGTGTGGAGGAGGGCAGCTTGCCTATCTAACATCTATAAGACTTTATTTGTTTGGGAGCATACAATCATCAGGGAAGGATCTTTTTTCCTCTGCTTGCTCTTTTTGACAGCAAACTTTCTCATGTGACCAATAGGCATGAAAAAGAAAGTCTTTCAAATATGATAGGTTTTAGCCATATTTCATCTTTGCAGCCCCTTTTCTCTCTGGAGACACAAAGAAACGCTTAAGGTGATAAACAATTTATCAGGGATGTTGGCTTGAGAGAAAAAGCCCAGGTGGAAAAAATGAAAACACGGCATGTTAGAAACAGGACTTGACAGCCAATCTTGAGTTCATGTCAATGCACTACAGCATAGCTCCATCAAAAGTCAGCAATACAGTGTGTAGTAACTATAAGAACCTATGTAAAACATCTGTCAATGCCACATTACAATTTTTATACTCGACTTATACATGACTTGCAGATGTATAATGGAGACACATCTATAGCTTTTCACTCACCAGCATCTTGTCAAAGAAAAAGACAGCTTTCATATTGTTCATATATGGTTCAACTGAGATATTTAAAATCTTTTTAAAAAGTATGAGGACTGAAATGGATATGTAATCCATACCACCACACAAGCACAAGAAAATGATATATTATACCTCAATATATCTAATCATCCAATAAGGTTCTAAGGTAAGGTAATAAGTATCTTTAATACTTGAAACAAACAATACATTTCTTTCTATTAAATCGACTGCATCCTAGCTTGTCTTACTAGAGGTTACTAGAGGTCACATAGACTTCACATGGATCAATTAGGCAGCAGTTACGTATGGCTGGGCGGGATACATTACCTTGCATTGGCCTACTTTGTGGCTGGAAGTGAATTGGTTCTTTGGCCATGTGCAAGACCTCTCAATTTGATCTCCAAATCCGCTGCCAAACCCACTGATGCTCTGTGTCCCCCAAAACATCATAACTATTAAATCACTCTGCAGAGGATTTGCAATCTCAGCTTCTGGTTTTACGATTTAGAACTGATGCTGATGCTTAACTAGGAAAACAGAGAGCGAGGAGATACATGTGTGCTCAAGAAAACTGTTAAGAATCCTACTGAAATACACTAGCAACTTTTCAACCATGCTGATGACAGGCCCTGTAATAACAGTACATTTTCGTGTTCAAATCTCTGGAAATCCAACAAAATTGCTGTCCTCTAAGCGCACTTTATCCGCCAGCTGGGTTTGTGCATCATTGACCAAAAGCACGTTCGTAAACAACCTCAAAAAGCCTCTCTCCATTGATTAGGCCTGAGGCTGAACTACGTTCTCACCCTGGTGTCGGATGGTATTTTTGGTACATGCGGAGATGAGTGGCACAGACACATCAATGTGGGGACACCCAATAGTCCAGCAAACACATTTCAAAGCAATAGATGAAAGTCCTTGTAACAATTAAATCAGCAATGTTCTGATGTATTCTCTGATGCTTTGTACAATTATTTCATTTCATTTGGTTAATTTTTTTTTTATCGTGTTTAAAATGAGATTCCTCAGGGTAAAAAAATCTCCTCTTGAAATACAATTTCACACTGTGGTGGTGTGATCCAGCACAATAATTTCAACTACAACAAGAAATATCCACAGGTCAAAACAAGCTGAAGAAAAACTCATTTACACTGCTATACTGACAAATCAAAATCTGATGGTATAATTGTTTTGCACACTTTAGTTAATATTGTATAATGGTAGGTTAATGTGACTACTTCAAATATCTCTATTTTCATACAGATAATATGAAGACACCAAAACATCATCGATCATGCTCCGGCACGACAACGCATTGTAATTACAGAATAATATGATCCCAGTGAATATAACATAAACAAAATTCAATGCTCACTGTCTCACTTAACTAAATAATGCCATTATTCAAATGAGCCAGAAAAGTAATCATTATTTTGCCTGTGGGGTCATTAGCATAATTATTCAGAGAATGCATGATAGGAAAATTATTTACCTTCTATATGGTAACAGTAAATTATGTTGAGAATATCAATATGTGCTGGTTCTTAAAATTATTGACTATTTACGACACCTACATTTTTGCTCCTTTGCACTCTTCTAAAAGTCTTCTAACATCACAACTAGGAAGATCTCAAGAGTTCATTCGGGGAGCTGAGAGCACTTGTTGCTATATTGTGTTTCAGGGGCCTTTTTGCTTCTGACCTTTCTACGAATGGAAAAGGCTGCTGAGCAAACAAAATGGCGCCACACATAGCGCACACCACTGGTGCATAGGTGCAAAAACAGAGCCACATGACTGCAAGCGAGTGGAGTTTTTACTTGTGCTCGTTTCAGGTTGTCACACACATCCACACACTGTTGATACTCAAAGGGAAACTCAGCACCCTCCTCTTCACAGGTAGCACACACTTCAGACACCTCCTCAAAATATGAGATGTTATTTGACTAGCTTTGATGTACTTTCACTCTGTGATAGTGCATCCAAACCTATACAAGGGCTGGAAAGAGAGATGCCTATCAAAACCCCTACAGTAAAAGGAGGAGATTTACATCCTCTGCACTAATGAGGATCAAGGCATAGTCAATAATATTATTATGTGGAAAGCTGAATCCTGTGACCATGACAACATGGTGCAGCAGATACATTACTGGTCAGATCCTTATCACGACCTTCCTGACACGCTTCCTAATAAGGCATTCTGGTCACCCACCACCACTAGAAAACCATTTTAAATCCTCTTCATCAGCTATGTAGAATGCGTTGATCTGAGAAATGATAAGTGCCATTCTACAATTGCAAAGCATTGAGAAGAGAAGAGTCTTCATTTTTCTTTCCCCAGTCTTAAATCTTAAGCCTTGAAAATACAACCAAAAAGTTCAAATTAGAATTATTATCCATTTTTAATTTTGTTCACTAGAAGCACATTATCACCCAACCTTTTGACATGTGTTTATTGTACATGTTGTTATCACATGCTAGTGATCGATTTTGACTGGTGCACAGGAACTCTATTTCCATGGGTTATAGCACTTTATTACACCAATGAGGAACCTCTATTTAAAGCTTCCCAGGCTGGCATTTACTACCATGTGTAACCTTTGCCATTACATTAGGCCCATACAGAATCTGCAGCTGGAGAACTGTGAGAAACTCCCGTATGTGAAGGGGAGCCATTAAGCACCGTCTCTTTGGTGCTGTAATGTTTTAATTCATTTTTTTCCACAGATGAGCCAAATCAATTGGAAAGTGACCATCTGGTAGGATATGAGTGTCACTGAAGCAGAGGTAATGAACAAAATGTCTTCCTATCTCACAGAAATGAGGAGTCATTAGGAGTCATGAAACTATACACAAC